AACAATACACACTTAGGAAAAATAATAATGATAAATAAATGGTACAAAAACTAGAAATTGTTGAAAAAAAATAGAAATTAGTGACTTTTTTGGTACTGAAGTTTGCCTGCTAATTCTTCGATTGCAGGTTTATACTTGGTGCATTCAAGGCTAAGCAAGCGCCATTAACTTCATCTGTTAGCCGGTTTGTTTTACTCGTTTTAATATTATTTAATGCTGAGAACAAAGTCTCACAAAAATATGTTGATGAAAAAATGATTAGCAAAGCCATCGCTAGATTTTTTATATCGCTAAAAGTGTCAGGTATTCTGTTCCATGCACTCAAAATTTCTTGTTCGTAGTTGCACTCTTCTTCGTTATTCAAACGATTTCGTTCCAGATTTTCAAGTTTCGATTTTAAGTCGAGAAACACGCGAGTCCAAATGCTATTTTGAAAATCTGTAAGTTGCATCTCTAAATTATCAATTTGCATCCGTTGGAAATCTTTTAATTCCAAAGAACTGTAAACAACTACATCCGGATACTTAATTATTTTAATGGTCTGTTCTAACCTTACTTGCTAAAATTAATAGAAGTGGCGGCGACGTAACGAAAATACATATGCGATGGAAGGTGTTTAATGTTTTATTAAGTGTCATTTATTTATCCATAAACCTGGTTTTGGGTTTAAATAAAAGCTTTTTCATTCTTATAATAAAATTCATATAGAAAATTATGAAATCGAACTCGGAGGTTATACATCTTTTAATAAAAAGAAAACATTCCATCTTACAGCGATTCCATCTAGTGCTCTTGTAGCGATTGCAGTGCCCTTGGTGGTAACATTTGTCTCTAGTTGATTTTAGCAACGAGCGTAGATAGAAAGTCGAAAGACCAGTTATTTAATTTAATTAATCTACCGACTCTGGTAGTACTAACTTTGGGTACGTTCGTAAAGTCAAACGAGTTAAACGCGTTAGTAACGAATCGTTCGAATAGTAGTAGTCTCNGAGAAGATGTTTATGTTTTCCAGCAGTAAAATAACCGTTTCCACCAAGGCCTCTTACGCTTGACGGATTCTTCCACCATTTTTTCGGACTCCTTTCTGTCCAGTTCAATCTCACGTGACCTTGTCTCCACCGTCTATTCTGGAACTTCCAGATATTGCCGTTGTAGATAATGGACGAGAGACGAAGCGCTGTCGTCCTGAGTTACGACGACCACCCGTTTGACGCCGGGTGTATGCGACTCCTCCGCATCTTTCGGAAGCACCCGTATTACACGAGACAAAGACGACGCGCTATCCTCGGGCTCAGCATGGCCCGAGGCACACACTTCTTCAATTCTTTGAAATTATCCATCTGCAAAGAAAAATGAGCGAATGTTGTGAAAACAGAACTTGCATTAAAGTGTAGAGTATAGCGGTGTGAATTTCAAGTGGGATATAATGTGTATATAAACCATAGCGGGGGATAACAATTTCACGTATTTATTAATTCTTATTTTGCTTTTACAGTTCCATTGAATTTGGACTAAACGAAAATTAACAATAAAAAGGGTAAAAATTATCTTGTAAAATAAATGGAAAGACTTCATTGGGCGCCTCTGTGACCAAACTGTTCAATTGTTATCTAAATGGCGCTTTATCGGAAAATCATTGCCACTAATTGTGTTATTCGGCTTAACAATGTTCAAAAATACCTAAATTTATAAAGTTCGTAGTCTGAACTTCCGATAAAATCACTGCAAATGATGAAAAACTCAGAAAAACGCTCGAAATCAATGACTTTACATCGCACGAACCAAAAATCCAACCGTTTGCAATAACAATAATCGATCGCTAATACGATTTCTAACCCAAGTTGTCTTTTGGCACCTGACAGATCGAGTCCAAACACGGAGAATAGCTCACTGCTGTTACTGATACGTTTTGAAATAAATACATTTTTAATTACAATGATATATAGACTTGTTATATGAAATATTTTGTTTTCGTAATATCTAGAGTAAAAACAATAAGAAAAATAAAAATATTGTAGTCTTAAGAATTTAGGGGAGAGATCCTTCAAAAAATAAATAAAATTGATTTTTTTTTTAATTCCAATTTTTATGTAATTCGAACATCTTTTAACGTTTGTTCGAAATACGTCACACATGACGACTCACAGTTCGATTGTGTTTCTGTTCGGAGTCGGACGTGCTTTTCTTGCGCTCGTCAATCAATTGTGTGCTGTTTTTTGCTGTTTGCGGACTTTTCGAAAGAAGATGAAAGATTTTTGAGTTAATTAAGTCTTAGTCCATATTGAACCTAGACGTAAGAATTTATTTAATATTACTTGGAGAATCGGTCCCAGAAGCTGTTTTCCTTTTCGATTCCAATGTTTTAGATTTAAAAAGACAGCTGCGGAGAGCATTTTGCTTTTCTTTTTATGGTTTTTGCTTTATTAATTTAAGCTTTTGTTTTCACTCGACTAATTGCAAATTTTCTTTTTTACAGAATGAAGAGGTTGGTGGGGTTTTGGAGGCGGTGGTGCCGGAGGGAGGGAGGTCCTCGGAAGGCGCGGAACGAGTTCTGTTGGACTCGTATCGCGCCCGAAGAGACGGTGAAAGAGCGGGGGCTCGACGAGCGAGAGGCAGCGGGCGAAGAACACCTTCCCCAAGTGCGTGTGGCGTGGCATCCTCCCGGAGTCCGGATTATGTGACGCTACACTCTGGGTTCGATGCACTTGGCCAAGGGGTATTCAATTGGGACACAGGATGTGCAAAGTCTATTCGTCATTTCTGGTACTAATTTTGATTATCACGTCGATGACATCACGTGCGTATTCACTTTATTAACGACAGGAGCAGACGAACTGAAACAGTCACCTCAGTCAGAGGTGGATAAAACAGTTATTTCGAATTGGGGCTAGACTAATGCAACTGAAGTAAGAAATATACCTCGAATTCAGAATCAGTGGACGTGCTCGCAGTCATTAGGTAAACAAGGAATCATAATAACCCAGACAACTACCGATAGAAACGCAGGAAGTCCTGCATGGAGAAATAAAAGTTCAGCTCATAGTGCAGTTTTAATGCCTAATCAGTAAAGACCTATACAACCAAAGACCTTCGTCAATAATAAATCGATTTCGTACTACAGTTGCAAAATCACGTACAGAAAAGAAATATAGCTTCAGTGCCTGTGTTTAACGTTCATAGTCACCGAAACTATATTTCTTTTTCTGCAAGTACACATCAGCGCCTCACTTGTAGCCACACTTTAGAAAGCGGACCCTTATAGGCAGCTGTCTTCAACACTTTCGGTGTCTACAGGGTTTTTGGCGATTGTCTCCTCTGGAATTCTAGCAACTCTCTTCATCTTTATCAGGTAGACTACGGACACCACTCTTCTGCTGTTTACTGAATATATCCCTTCGGCTCTCTACCGTGTTTCTGCAAACTTTGAGTAACTCACCGGGAAGACGCGCTGGTTTTCTGGATCTTGGACTTGAGCTCTTGGAACCTCCCTCCTGCCAAGTTGGTAAATTTTTTTGTCGCTACCAACTGGTTCTCTCTTCGGTCTGCTCCAGACAACCTCTGGTTTTTTGCAGCAGATTTTCCAAGGCTGTTGGGCCCTCTTTACACTTCTATCACTACACTTTTCCCAGTCGAACTTCCAGTACTCAGGGTACGAAGACCGTTCGGCCACTGGTGACTGCTCGTCGAGTTGACATTTTCTGGTTGGTCGCGTTCTGCCTGTTCGTCCGCCACGGGGATGCAACTGCCTAGCCGAAGTCGGAATGGGGAGGAATCGGAGGAGAGAGCCACCCGAGTCTCGGGACCGTGGTTTTGTTGCTGCGGACGGCTGCGGGTCCCTTGGCCTATGCGATGATCCTCTTCGATTTTCCTCGACTCGTCCTTTGCACCCGGATGCGACATTCTATCCGGATTCGACACTTTTCACCTGGACATGACACTTTTTAACAAACGTGACCTCTCTTACCCGGACATGACCCACGGACTTGTCTCTCGAACGTGACACTCGGTCGACGACAACGGATTTGACTCCCGATTGTGACCCTCCGGACGTGACACGTTTCTTCACCGGACGCGACTTTCGGCCGACATTTCTTCCCAAACAGCTGTTATGAGGATTGAGCTTCCGGTTAAGGTAAATTAAATTAAGTTACGTTAGGCTAGGCTAGGTCAGGCCCTTCGCTCTTCTCATAACACTGTTCGGGAAGAAAGACTGTTTGATAAAGGTAATAATGTTGACCTTAGGTAATAAACGAATAAACTTCTGCTTTCTCACTGTCTTTTTGTTTTGTAGGAACATTTGGGAGGGAGATTCTTCTCCCTCCCCACCATTACTACGAAGAGGACCAATTGGCCATTTATCGTACAACTTGTACAAGTGAATATTTTCCGAAATATACGATGGTAAGAACTCTTTCGTTTGATTTTTTAACGCATCTTTTCATATAGTAATTGACTGTTTTTATGTTTTTAGACATACCGAAGATGAACAAACACATACACACACACGCACGCACACGCACGCGCGCACGGATATAACATCACTGTACACAAAGATATACACCGTTTAACCTTTACCCGAATTCTTGCACTGGCGCACTTACACGTCAAGCGCCTCGTTCTGTGTAATTCGACACAATGAAACAACCCGAACACTCGCTTCCCACAAATCCAGCCTCTGGGTCTTCGTCCCGGGAAGTGGAAACGCCAATTTTAAAGATTAGAAGACTAAATTGGCGGCCGAAGGGGCTCTGATAATCACAACTTGCATGGATTAAATGGAATTTCATACATTCGCATCAAATGTCGGTCGTATTTCAGTATTGCTAATTCTTACCTAAGATGATTAATTAAAGATCTTGGTGCTCATTGTATAGTTCATTACACTTGCAGTATGGCAGCTGGTGATTTTTTGTTTTGTTTTTATTTTATAAACGCAATGTAGCGTAATAACGATCACTTGTTTTGTTTTGTTTATGGAGGGCACTAAGAGAGGAGCGTTTTAATTTTACCCATGCTTGATTTCTGAAGATCCACAATTTGGGCTGCCGGGCAGCCTTAATACATCAGGTACAAATCGCCCTGGGGTCTTCAACAGCTGAAATTCGATCTCAGGGAGGCAGACTGAAGTCCTAACCGCTCAAACATTTGGCAGTCATCTTCTTATACTGTGTTGAAAGTATAACAAGTAGCGACACTTGCATATAAACAGTTTCTTATAACTTGCATATAAACAGTTTCTTATTGTACACCAGACTTAGTTGGTTTGCAATGTACTGTACCATATCTCTTACATAATATATTCTTTCGGTGAAAAATTGCTATTCGATGTACACCATTTTGTTCACGACGCGTTTTTAGGAATTTAAGTATGACATATATTGAGGACATTCTGTATTTAATAATAACAGATGAAATTTGATCCAATAATTTAGTGTCTTATATCAGAAGTCGCGGTAGTGATTCCCCGGCAAGTAAAAAAGTCGCTGACTGACTACAAATACAAGAATCAGAGTTGCCGATTTTCGGGGATCGATTTCTTCGCCTCTGAAACATCTATAGTAACTCTGAATATCTCGTTCGAAGGAAAATTCGGATATGTCGGATCCCGTCCCTCACCACCAGGCCGCCCCATTGTGGGCCTGGCCGAACGCATAACGGGCTTGCTAATGAAGGCCCTCTTAGTGCCCACAGGGTGAAAAGAGTTTAAATTAACTCTAGGACCGGCGAAACAATACATGCCCGGAGAAGCAGTAATATTGTCTGCCACACACATAATCAAAGGAGTTCCTCTAAAAACGTGAGAATGATTTGCTATTAATTTTATCAAGTTAACTTCATTAATGTTTTTTTAAATGTGCTAACTTAAATATTTCATGTAGTACATTATAGGCATGAATTTTAATATATTGGATATTCTACTAGAGCAAATTATTAAATGTTAGAAAGGTTTTCTTCACGGTTTGTAACACTAGAACCTTGCGTAGTACCAGAGTAGGTAGATTAGTAAGTCTGTATCTCTAAAACGATCAACGCGATGTCTCACAAGAAATGAAAAATCATCTAGGAAGAGATCCCGAAAAGACAATACCAAAGGTAAATATTTATATGTTTTTTATGTAATCTTAATCCTCAGTGAGTCGTGTAACTTTTTGCCCTTGCCTGAGTCGCAGTGGGTCTCTCGGACCCCGTGTTTTAATATAAAATTATTAAATTTTATCTATCGCGTAAAAAAAAAAAACTACAATTTCGCAGTTAAATTCTGCGCTTTGTTTTCTTTCTTTCTTTCTTGCTATATTGATGACAAAATTGCGTTTTTAATGTTTATTTTTATATAATTTGATAGCTAAGCGACACGATTGTTGCGTAGCTATCATTCTTTTATTTATATTATTCCATAACTTCTAGTTGTTTGATTCTGTTTGAACAAGTAAGCATTTTTTCAGAATTTTCTGGTGGAAAATTGACTACAATAAGAAAATCTCTCCCTTTACGTAAATCAAGGTAAAACTGTAAACAAATGTTAGATAATCGCTATTTTCATCGTTTTTCAGCTCCAATTTAGCTCTAATTTACATATTTATTGAAGTTATTTAAACGAATAAGTGTTTTGATAGAAACATTTCGTGGCAAAATTGTCCGCAAAACTAAAATACTTTTGGTTTAATTATTTCCCGCGATTACGCAATATCTAGAAGTAATGAGTTTCCCGGTAAATTTTTTGACTGGAAGGTTTTGCTAAGACATGTAGTCCAAGTAAAGTCAAATAAAAAAAAAACCTTCTAACCGCGTGTTGATCGGACTGTACGTTAGAAGAATATAAATTTTTTTCAGTATTTTTATATTTAAAAAAATGTTAACTAAAGATTGAGCTGGGTTTGTGAGACCCACTGTGATTCACTGAGGGCTATCTCTCTGTGGCCCAACTTTCCTTATAAAGATTAATTGTCTGATATTTTTTTAATCAATCAAAACCGACTTCGTGTAATGATTTTATAATCTTGTATTAAACTCTTAACTTATGTTTTCTTTTCAATTAGCGTTTCTTTGGAATGATAAGACAAGGAAGTGGAAGCAATTCTCATCCCACAACAGTGCAGTTCTTATACCTGTACAGTTTGGTTCGTCCACCCAAACGAGCATCAGTTCAAACTGGCCCTGTATCTTCCCTTATTACTTTAAAAAATCTTCTTTGGAGTCATAAAAAACCATTTAAGGAAGTTCAAGAACAACTGGAAGAACATTTACAAAATTTGCTTTCTAATCCAAGCCTGTCCTACGGAGATACTAGTGATAGTGAATTATTAGATCATGATTATTGTACACCAGAAACATTTAAGTTTATCCTACATTATTTAGGAGGTTATATTATTTATCGTCTACTGCCATCACTCGGTTGTGATGAATGCAAAAATATATTAACAGCAAAACCTGAGGATGCT